CCCCGGGGCCGCGCGACTGAAGCCCGCGGCAGTGCGGGGCGCCTCTCCCCGCACCCCACGCCCTGCGCGCGGCCGCTCGCTGCCGGCTGGCTTCTCGGCGACAGCGGGGCGATCGCTCCCCGCGGCTTCCATTTGCACCCCCCTGATGGTTAGTGACGTTGAGCATCTTTTCATCTGTTTTCTTTGGGGAAATGTCTGCTCATTTTTTAACGGGATTGTTTGTTTTTTGATGTCGAACTGTATTAGGTACAAACTGCCAGTTATAAAAACAGCCGCAGGGATGTAAAGTACAGCATAGGGAATATGTACAGCAAATAATAATGTAATAACGACGTTTGGTGCCAGGTAAGTACTAGACTTATTATGGTGATCACTCTGTAAAGTATAAAAAATGTCTAAGCTCTATGTTGTACACCTAAAGTTAATATATTGTATGTCAACTATAATTTCAAAGTAAATTTTAAAGACAGTCCATGGCGTAACACTTAGCAGTAACAAAGATGAACTATTGATACAGCCAATGTTCTGTGCAAATGTCCAGAGAATTGGGAGGGAAAAGCTGATCCCAAGGGGTCCACACACCGTGTGACTACATTCGCAGGCACGCGTGCGCGGCCCCCTGCATTTATGCAGCATTCTCTCAGTAACAGATTAGCGGCTGCCAGGGCCGAGGGACGCGTGGATGTGGCTGTGAGGGCAAAAGCCCGCGGCGGCGGCGGTGGTGGAAACGTTAGGTGTCTATCAATATGAATGTCCTGGTTGTGATATTTTACTGCACTTTGGCCAGATGTTTTCTTTGGGAGAAACTGGATAAAGTGCACTTGTGATGTCTACATGTTACTTCCTCCACCTACATCTGAATCTACAGTTTTCTCAAAAGGAAACATTTAATAAAAAAAAAAGATGGTTCAAAGCCCAGGACTTCCCCTAGAAGGTGGGAAGGTGTGAAACCAGAGCCTGTGGATGTGTGTCTGTGTGTGTTGGGGGCAGCAGAGGTTTGCTGATGAGAAGTCTGGGCTCACTGTCTCTTTTTCTCTTTTTCCAGCACCTTCTGGTTTGTGCCATCTCATTGGCAGTGCATCTACCATTGTGACACCACCTAGGATTGTCTTCAGACTCTATGACTTGACTTCTGGTGTCCTAGTGTTGGGGGCAGAGATGTTGATCATGCTGTTGACTGTGACTGTGAAAGGGGGAGGGCACCTAACAGGAACAGGACCATAGTTATTTAATGATTATTCACCTTACTAACTATAGAGAAGTTTTCCTACAGACCCGGGAAACTGGAGGATGTGCTGCAAGAAGGAAAACAGAGCTGTGAAAAGGTAAGAGACACTTTGGGGTCTGCATGGGTCCATTGCTCAGAACAGAAAATGCATTTGGGGAACGAAGGACAGGATGCACTCTGACTTGGTTGCTGTGTCTGGAGCTGGACCCCCCTCTGGGACTTTGCCTCAGGAATGCTGACCATTCTCAGGTCCCAGGAACTGGCAGAA